CTTACTTGCATTTATCACTGGGAATTTAGGCTTCCCCACTTTTTCCCCCCCCATCAGGACAATTGTTCTGAGCTCATCCTCTGCAAAGCTTGCTTGGACTTGGAGATTCATCTGAAGAACAAAAATAGTGGAGATGTACAGGCAGTTCCTAAAAACTGTCTGCAAACACTTCATATTCCTTTCTTCTGATAGGTGGAGAGCAAGAAGTATAGTCCTGACTGGGAGAACCTGTCACAATAAATCCAGGCATCTCTGTCTGCTGGAGCAATTCCTTTAGGAGCTCTTTTAGAAAAGTCACCCTACAAGTAGCAACACTCTCCCCTTCTGCAAACACATCTTCTCTACACCCTCTCTGAGTAAGCTTATTAATTACTGAAATATATGATGGATTAAAGTTTTTAAAGTGTCTGAGATGATATGAAATATTCCAACCCTCCCAAGCTGTCAGGCTCACCCCTTTCTCTTCACTATTGCCAGCTGCTTCCCACACCCTTTCCCCGTTTCACGGACCCACTATCATTTTTTCCCAGTACTTGGTTATGTGCTCATGTGCCAGGACTGTTGCAAAATGCCAGTGTGCTGTACCACAGACAACTTTCCCAGCTCCACTGTAAATAAGAATGCCATTTTCCAGCAATAAACCATGTTCCCCCAGAAAATGAGGCTCTCCCTGCCTTAGTGCACCTTCTTCCAACAGTGCTGACTGTGTGACTAGCTTGAGACATTTCTCTATTCCTAAGGCAAACTAGCTCAAATTTTCTGAATCGAAAACTCTTTCTTCTGCCATAATTACCTTGCAGATAACCAAATATAGCCTTCCCCAGGACTTCACTGCTAAGTCCTTGCCCCCTAGTCCAGTCTCTCTCAAGCTTTTAACAGGCAGATAGGCTGTTTCCTGGTGCAAATTATCATGTTCTGCATGTGCTCTGTTACAATACACAAATGGCCACATCCTTGAGTGGTTTGGCTTTATCTGCCCTTGTTTTCCTGACAGCAGTGAAGGGGCACAGCTGAGAGCAGCCTTGCAGCATGATGGTGCAGGGCCCACCAGTATTTCCCCAGCTACATGAGCCAAAACCCAGCAGCAACCTGTGCCCTGCCCCTTTGCCACACATGTTCATCAGGTTGTCAATCCTTGCATAACATTATCCATTTATCCATTATCCCATCCCTGGAAGTGTTCAAGGCCATGTTGGATGGGGCAACCTGGTCTAGTGGAAGGTGTCCAATCCCATAGCAGGCCAGTTAGAATTAGATGATCTTTAAGGTCCCTTCAAACTGATCTGTGATTCTCTAATTTAAAAGTGTTGCAGGGAAGTGTTTTATGTTAGTGCCTAACAGGACTTACACTACCAGTTATCCCAATCCAAGAAAGCATCTAGACCAGGACTGCTCTGATCCCATAGCTCTTTGCTATCCACAAGCAATTGCCATAGATACAGAATATATAATGTCATATTTGGCCATAACACATAGCTATTATAAGCAAATTTACAACGAAGAATTAGCAGCACCTGTGTTTAAAGAAGAAATCTGCTTCTGTTTGGAAATAAAGCTGCTTAAGCCCATTTCTTTTCTGGTATGGTTTGTCACATTCCAGGCAGGTTTTAAGGTCTTAACATAGTTTCACCTTTGTTTACTGATGGATAAGCTAGGATGGCATAGAAGAGATGAAGACATATTTTACTTCTGTATGTTTTCCTTCATCCTATCTATCCCATCCCACCTCTAGGATAATTTTTCCCATGCCTAATTTTTTCCAAGCATCAATACTTGCTTCTCTGCTGACCCATCAAACCTGGGCAGATCACTTCCTTAGAAGGATCCTTTGCTCCACAAGCATTTCACCACTGTCAGTTACTTCTGCCACAGCACATGCATGCAGAGAAAAAATAATCTCACTCTGACATTGCCTAAACACAGTGTTT